GTATGATTGAATGCACTTGAAGTACAAGTCTCATCCACCCAATAAGGATATAAGGTTAAGTTTATTAGAGATATTTAATTTGTTTGCACAATTGGTGGTGAAAAATAGATAAACTGTATATATTTGAATTAAAGTTAGGATTCTTTGAAAAAATTAGGAAATAGATAATCAATATTTTTGATGAATTTTTTTTCCTAATTATTTTACTGAAGAGAGAAAGCTTATTGCCAGACTTCACCAGAATCTATTCGTATTATCGAAATCCAAAATCCAAAAATTTATTCCCCAATTTTCCAAATTTCTTCTTTCTTTTCTTTTTTCCGCAGGATCTTAGTATAATTCGACTTCTTTGGGTTTATATTTGTTTCGAATAATTCCTATTGTTAGCATTTGTGTCATCCGCTGTGTTGTAACTTCAGAAATTTTCATAGTTCTCTCTACTCTCGGTTTAAATTCTCCTCCCAAGGATCTAGCCCCAGCTAGGAGAGACATAGACCAGTCAGAGTTTCATCTGTATTTCGTATCCGTCTATGTGAGGACATGGTTTTCTTCATCCATACTCAAGGACATCTATTTTTTGCCACTTTGATCCAAGCACCTATGAGTGCAGGAAGACTATGTCGGTCAATTTTTATTTGCGAAAAATTCACTGCAAAAATACAAGTTAATTTTATATAATTTAATTTAAACTTATAAATTAATCATTTAGTAGTAAAATTAAATTTTCATTAACCATGCTGCAGAAATAGTATTAAATAGAAAAATTATAATATGCATGGGAGTGTTATTCAATTAGATTTAGAAGAGGAAAAACTAAACAGGAATAAATTATGTATTCTAGGTTACGCAATACTATTCTCAAAATGTAGACTGATGTTTTGTATTTTGCATAAAACTATTAGCACATATTATATTTTTGTAAAATTATTAGAATAGAAATCGCATTTTATATTTCAAAAGTAATAGTTAATAAATTCTTTCATAATTTGTTGAGAATAAATTAAATTTAAAATAAATTTATTAATATCATTTATTTTCATAATATTAAATTTGATATTGATGCATGAATTAAACGAGGTAATCGCATATTTAATCAGGATTCTCATCAAAAATCTCAGGGCTGTATTTAGTTATATCATTTTCTTTGAATTAAAAATTTTTATCAAAAGCCGCTTGAAGTATTGCCAGTTTAATCAAAATTATATATAGATTGCAATTAAGATTATTTAACTTTTTGTATTCAAGATTATCAATTTTCTTTTCTTAGTAATAGATACTTTATAATAATCCTATGATTTATCTAAAGATTATTGAATTATTTCTTTAGAAATCTTCATTAGTATTATCCCAGCCAATTTATTCTTTGCTTTCCTTAATTGTGTCAATTAAATTAAAAATTTTTCTCGCTAAGTACCAATGTTTACTTGATGTTGAATATTAGTATTGATTAAATGTGGAGAATTCAATTTATTCTAAAAAATTATTCAGTTTTTAACATTCAAGATGGTTAGATTGATACTCAAAAGATTAGTTAATCTCCTCCTTTAATAAGTTTATCAAAATTTAACCAAGTTTGGAGAAATATTATACATAAGTTTAAAATTCACCTTCAAAAGATATATATTTTAAAATTTCTGGAATGTTTTGAATCAAACTTAGTAAGCTTTCACAAATATTTTGAATCAACATACATAAATTCTTACGTTAATTCCATTTTTCAAAAGTTATAGTAAATTATGATTTTGGTTTTCCGATTTAAGATCTCAATTAAGAACTTCTCACCTCAAATTATTAATTTAAAATATTTCCTTAATTATTCATTGAAGAAAATGTGGATATTTGATGTTTATTAAATTTTTCGAAAAAGATATGCTGTTAGGAATTGCTTTTTTAATCTGGTAATTGAAGGTTATCAAATTATTAGTACTATTATATTTTGACTTGAGAATAATTTTACATGAGTTAACTACTATCGATTTGTTAATTAAAATCATAAAATTTTTAATTTTTTATCAGTGATCTTTCCAGAAGTGATGGAATCACTTCTTAAGAATTGAAAATGTATGAAGATTAATATAACTAAGAAAATGTTAATCTTTCAGCAACATTGTATTTGAGCATTTGTTAAATGAGATTTCTAAGTACTTAGTTTTCGATAATTTCAAAGTTTGCACTTTCTTCTTTAATTAATTCAAATTATTTCTTCTAATTAAGGTTATCATAATAAGGATACTCTCCTGTAATCATCTAATATAAACAAACTCCCAAACTATATATATCTGCTTCAAATGAATAAGGTTTCCTTTCCAAGACTTCAGGAGCTAAAAACAAATAATAAGAGATATGTACCCATGTTGACTTCAGTTCCTGCGTAAGTTTAAGTTTGTGTTTTATTGAAAAACTGTTTGGCTAATCCTAAATCAAGTAATTTGTATGAAGCATTTTTAAAAATTTCTACAATTAATTTTTCATTGGATGTAGTTAATTTGCAGAAATCTTTTGGTGTAATTACCACTCCTATGTTATCTAATTTTAAATCTCTGTGAATTATATTATTCTTGTGCAAATAATGTAATCCATTCACTAATTGTTTAAGAATAACAATTACAAGATCCTCTGGTAACTTGTTTTTAAAATATGTTCTCATCATGCTCTTGACATCAAATTCGCAATACTAAAGCATAAATATTAAAATTAACTTCCAAAACTAAATATAACATAAATGTTTTTTCTTCAGCTTCAAACAATTTGATAACATTTTCATTATCACTCTTTCTTAATAAATCAACCTCATTCTTTAAATAAGGAATAACAATTGGCTTTGCTTAAGCTAAATTAACAACCTAAATTTAACAATTCTAAAACCTTAATTGCCACATACTCTCCAAAAGTATTTTGACATTTGTAGACTTTTGAAAAGGCCCCTTAACCTTTTTATTCTGGATTCAGAAATTTATTTCCGAATTGCTGCAAAAGTCTTCGCTATAATTCATTTACATGTATGTTCTGTAATAGAAATAGATTTAAAATATTAATGAGATTATAAAGGAATGACATGAAAATCTTATAGTAGATTTAAATGAGTTTAGTATGAGATTTGTATTCAGAAATTATGAAAAATTATAAATTACAATAGTTGTAAACTCTAAGTATTTTAAAAAATAAAGTTTGACTAATGATGGCAAAAAAGAAAAAAATTAGTAAATGTGCATAGTTTATGGGAATGAATTGGAAGAGAGTATGAGTAATGAAATTATATTTTATAATGTAAAAATGAATGCTGATATAAAATAATGAAGAAAGCTAATATAATTAATTAATAAATTACAATAGTCGTTTTTATTATTTAAAATAAATGAGAACAGGATTATTAATTTGCCTGATATTTGGAGTATTGAGTGTTGAACTTAATATGGAGAGACATTCGGAAGAAGTTTTGGCCAAATTAAAAGAATCTAAATGGGCTTCTTTCATAGTTGACTTTGCAGAAGTGGAATTGGGTAGTGGAGGAGCCTTGACAGAATTGGTAGAAGCCATCAGTTAATTGATCGATTAATTAGAAGAGGAATTAGATGACATTCATCATGTCTACTCTAAAAGAACAGATGAACATAACAGAGATGTCACAAGATATGAATAAGAAATTTAAGATGCTGATAGAGGTTAAAGTTTAAATTGTATTGTTAGACATTTTCAATGGAGAAGATTTCATTGACAACGTTCTCATTCCATAAAAGTAAAGATTCTAAGACGCTCTTGGCTCAATTGAAAACCAACATTGAGGAAAACAGAAGAATTCTTGATTCAGAAACAGTCAACAGAAAGAAATAACACGAGTAATTCTTATCCAACATTGCTGAAATCAATGAAGCTATTGGAGCTGTTGATGAATCCTTAGGATTGCTTTCTTAAATTACTAACCCATCTCTAGTCTAATTCAAAAGAGTTCAGACTAATTTAGGTAGAATTCAAACTTCATTCTAAAACCATTCTTCATTTGCACCAATTATTAAAGCCTTACTTGAATTAGCAACAGAATAAAACTTTGCTGATTAAGGATCAGTGTCATAATTGGTTAAGATCTTCAATGAATTGAGAGTCCAATTTGTTGATACCTTAAACTAAGAAACTGCCGATGAGAGTGCAGCTGAAACCAAATTTGCTGAAAGAGTAGCCTAATTAGAAAAGGAATTTGCTGAATTCTAAAGAGCTGTCCTCATCAAGAACTCTGAAATTGCTGCTAATGAATGTAAGAATTCATATTAATATATCAGAAAAACTTGGAGAAACCATTGTCTATGTCGGATAAAGAAAGGATGACAGAGCCACACTTCAAGCCTAATTATAAGCTGAAAATGATAACTATGCTTCTGAAACAGACCTCTATAACCGAACTGTTGCAGAATACAACAAGGAAATCGAGATCAGCAAGCAGGCTCTTGGCTTATTAACTTAACCAAGTTTTGAATAATATGTCAAATCTAAAGTTGGAATTTGATCTATATTGACACATTCAAATAATATATTAACAATCAATTTTTTTGCGTCACTGTTACTTTTATTGATGATTTATATGTTATTATTGTTATTGCGTATCTCCGTTAGTTTTTTTCATCTCCTCAAATATATCAGGTCTAATCTAAACAGGTAATGAGTTCTCTAGGCCTGTAAACAATTTATCATGCTCTTCCTCTTTCATAAAAATTGGCTACTACTACTATTGCATTGAATGGATTAAGCTAGGATTCATATACAAAAAACTCATCATCGGTGTCTCGAATTTGTACATTCTATTTAATTCTGGATCAGATGAAGACTTTAAGGATTCTTTCAACCAATTTTGAAAATCTTAATATTGCTTTAATGCTTCTGGATATTAATTTACTCTGTATGAGTCTGATCTTATTGAATCTTGAAAAAATGAAAAGGGATCTATGATTTGTGGAAATTGTGATTGTTGTATTTGAGAATGTTACAAAGAGGGAAATTGTGATTATGAAAATTATATTTACTATTGCTACTATTATGACTATTGAGTTTAAAATTAAGTAAATGGTCCTTACTAGCATTGTAGATCTGATTATAATTATTATTAATTAATTTCTTCGTTGATTTTATTTTCCTTCCCTACTATTTCTTCCTCCACTTTGAATGATTATTAAATTCTTTTAAATTTTCTAATTTTTTTCATCCCCTGACTCTATTTCTATCCATCTTCCTCCAATACCCGTACTTTACTAGGTACAACATAATAAGGATTTTAGATTTTTCCGTATTATTTTCTAATAAAGGAATAAAACCTGTTTTTAATCATGTTTTCCTAAATTTATATGATAATTTTTACAGGTCTGCCTGGCATTTTCTTTGACATATCCGACCATCTTGTACCCATTTTCTAGAACATTTCCCAAATCTTTTTATCTTCCTACTTAGTCCATGGGGTTTTAATGATGTTAGAATCCAGATGATTCACAAATCTCTCTCTAATTTATCGACCTGTTCTATTTGGGATCTCATTGGCTATTTATTTCCAGTTAAATTAATATATTTTTGTGAGTCTTAATACTTCTTTATCCTCTTCCTCAGTCCATTTTTGATTTCTTTCATTCTAATCCTAATTTAAATCTTCTTACTTCCTTAGGCTTTATTCTTTTCCATCTTTGTGCACATTAAGATGCATTTCTGCCAGGAACAAACTCAGCAATCAACTTCCAATTAGAACCGTGTTTGAACACAGCAGCGTGTAATTTATTATCTTCCTCTTCTTTCCAATACTTTCTACTTTGCAACTTTTGATCGGAATCTTATTATATAACTTAATTATTTCCTCTTCTTTTCATTCTAATGATTAATTTGTTGTTAAGTCATACCTTATTCTTCTGGGAATAACAATATTAATTTATTTGAAAAGAAATTCAACTATATAATTGGAGTATATTATAAGACAATTCTTTTGAAAATCACCTTTTTTTGAGATAAGATATAAGCCATGATTTACTTACCTTAAGTTATTTAATACATTCATATAATTTAAAAATAAAGGTGTGTATATTTGAGATTAGACCAGTTTATGGATATAGTTATCTTCATTAAAGATATCGATATGAATACATTAATCATCATTGATTTGTATAATTTATTAATAAAATTCAATTAGAATAGACTTTTGGACTTTGCCTTTAGTTCTTAATATTAAGGTTATATGTAAATTTAAAATATTTTATATGTTAAACTATATATATTTCATAAAAATATCCAAATACATTCAACTCACTAATTTAATCAATTCCTAACATAATCGTGGATATTTGAAATTCTTCACTGCTTATTCTGCCTCTTTTAATACAACTGCTTTTTCCGGACATTTCAATAAGCATTCGAAAACTGCTCTTTGAACTTCTTCGCTCGAGTCATCCAAGTGAATCAATGTTGCCTTGACAATATATTCCAAGATTGTTGTTGAATCATATTTCTATTACATTATTGCAGCGATTGCATAAGTAATTTCTATTCTGATTTAATTTTGAGAATCATCTAATCTTTCTAAAAGTGAAGGATAGAAATCCCTTATGATTTCATAATTTAAAATTTAGCACTTTTGGATTAGATTAGTTGCCAATTTACTAGATGCGAATCTCAAATCTGGTGCCCAATCATCTGTCATACAAGATTTCAATGGAGCAGCCAAAGCTGGAAATAATTCCAATATTTCTTCTTATGTTAACATTTCACTTAGTTAGAGTGTAATTATTACAGCTGCTTTTCTTACTTTAACAGTTGGTTTATTTGCTTTCCAGACCATAGATTATATCAATAATTATGAAATCATCACTGCAGCATACATTTTTATAGTGTCCTTGATTGATTAGATTTAAACAACTTTGTCTAATAACAATAGAACTTCTAAACGCAATTCAACCTCTTAGTCACCTCCCAAAGAAAATTTCATGATTTATATAATTTATTGCATGTATTTAGATATTCCATCTCCACATCCTGTTACAATAGCCTTAAATTTTAAGAATTCCCTTGAGTTGTGTTTCCAAGTTTTAAAATGTTCTTAATTTACTATTTATTCTAGAATCAAACTGATTTCATTTGCATGTAAATCAGTTACACTTGTGTAACCACATTTAGTTGACAATTAATGAAGCAATGGTTCACAATCTATCTTATTAAATGATCTAATTGTTAATAATGCTTAGAATAATTATCTAACATAAATTGGTAATTCTTGTTGAGATTAACTTATTATTCGATTTTCTAAATAATAGATACATTCCATCACTTCCCAACAATCGGAATAGACACCCTCAACATCGCTGATTAAATGGACTAAACTTTGAAGATCAAGATTATCATTTTCATGCACTATAGTTTCACTTATCATATTAATCAGATTGCATAATGTTTTTGATTATTAAGCTTACAATTCAAATCTTGCTTGGTTTATCAATGTAGGCAAATAATAATCTATTTGTATCTTTAATCCAATCACATAACATATTTATTTACACTATTCAAAATATACATTTATTTTTACCTCAATCAAATAATACTTATCATCATTTGTGTAAACCTTAGCCAATAACTTAAATATTTAAGTTAGATATTCTCCGATATCTGCAATACAGCAAATCATCTTTAATTATTACAACGCCTTTAATTTTTATATCTGGGTTGATTGAAATTCAGCACCATCCTTTAAAACCATTTAAATTAATTGAGGTAGATTTTTTGTGATAATATACTTTTATCCCTCAGTAATTGAAGTAAATGGTGATACTTTATTAATTAAACTTTGATTTTTTTCCATTAATTATATTTTATGTTAGAAATACTAAAATTATTCTTATATAATTTTATAATATCAAATATTATTAAAGGCATAATCAATATCTCTATAAGTATTTAATAATCAAAACCAACTTAAGCTTTAAGCCCTTAAACAAGTTTAAATATTTATTTTAATTTTAATTTATATTTAAAAAGTAATAACTTGTTTAGCAATTTAATTTGGACTAAATGCTTAGAATTAATTATAAATTTATATAAGAATTCTAATATATTTAATAGAAAAAGAGAGCTTAGATTGCTTTAATAGAGGAATGTAATAATTGAAGTTATAAAATTAAGCAAAACAAAACAAATCAATTAGTAGAGCCTCTGACCTTTTTAAATATTAAGAAAACCTAAGAGTGTTAACCCTCCTTTCAAAAGATATATTAAATTATTATTATTAATATTAACACATATTAATCCAATATCAAATTCATAATATCTCAATATTATTTATTAACTCTTCTATTCTCTTCTTAATTTATTATAATTATCAAAGTTTGAGTTTTAATAGCATTATTGATAAATATCACTTCAACTTATTTTATTTCAAATTTATAAAAAGTTCTCAGTTATTTAATTAATAAGATTGTATTATCTTTTCTATAGAAGTTATAAGTAATAGTTTATATTTAAATACAAAATTGATTTATAGAATAAAATGTAAATGTTAAATGTTTACAATGAACTAAGTCACTTCAATGAATCTATAATTTTTGATCAGTTTGAAATATTAGCCAAATAAATCATTGAGGTTGGAATTAAATAGATATCATATTGGTTAACTTAATTATATTATATTTTATAAATATAATTAATATAAATGACAGATAATCATTAAGTTCCCTTTGGGAGTGGAATGTTTTAAGGACAAGCAAAGTTTGTGGATTATGCTCATATGAATTAATAAGAAGTGTAAGTGAACACTTTAGATGAGCCAGTTATGGATACTTTAGTAAATTTGATTTTAATGTAAAGTTGAGAGATATTAATATGATTCTTTACAAATTGTCTTATGTCATAATTCCAAGGATGAAAGAGACCCAAGGAAGAAAATTGAGAAATTGTAAAAGATTAGATTAAATTAAAATAGGGGATTTATGGGGACCATTGCTCTTGTCATTGTTGTTAGCAATGTAAAATTTGTTGATTATAAATTAGGACACTAGGAATAAATTCTAATCAATCATGTATTAGTTGAGATAATTAATATTTAGCTGATACTATCTTTGGGACAATCTTCATAATTATGTGGGGAGGGTCTGCAGTGATAACGTATGTTTAAAATTTAAGTTTGAATTTAGAGTAAATGCAAAGTTGTTGGGTGGATAGGTTTCATTTTTTTAGAGTGTTTGTGTGCTTGGTTATTGTGTATTTCCAATAAATGTGGCTGCTGTTTTGATAACTTTCCTTTAATCATATTTGGGATTCTTCTTAAGATTAATAATTGTTGGTGCTGCATTTCTCTGGTCAACATTTTGTGAGTTTATTTAAACTATAAATAGCTTCACTGTCTTTTATG